CTATTGGGATTTTTTTTTTCTTCTCTGAATAAAAGAGGATAAATGGTTATACTCGGTGTGGACAAACAGAACAATTCTCAGATCAGCACTGAAGGACACAGGCATGCAAAGAAGTTTCCAGCTGAACAATGCTGACATCTGTTCTGCAAGATGCAGATCTTTCCACTTCTAAAATATAAGATTTAGTTAAGCAACAAACTCTTAGAATCACCCTTTTCCTAATTATGCTTTATCTCTGCTCCAGGGTCACTGTGCCCCTTGGGAAGGACTAAGGTTGAGCTGTTCTTGTTATGATCCAGTGAATCCTAAAGGACATCATCACTGAAACAGTCTCAGACTTAAGAATTTCGTGAAGAATTTCAGACCATCTTACTCTTTACTTCTTAAGCTCAAACACGTATTTTTGCATTAAGATGAAAACAACTGCTGAGCATTCTTGTACTAGATTCTTCATTTATCAGTTAAAAATCCATGATGCCTGCAAATTAATGTTCACTGAATTTCACCAGACACACTATACAAATGTACCCCCATAACCTCTCAGCATGCTGAGCAGTGACATATTCAACCCTAATTTGTTTTATTGGACACAGCTCATTGTTCTCAGCTTCAAAACAAGTCAGCACCAGTTTGATGTGGGAGTTGTGGGAGCAGAAAGAATTGATCCAACTCTGAACCAGATCTTGTTTTGGCAAAAAAAAACCCCAAAGCACTCAGTCAGTCAACGAACCAAGAACTGATGATTTCACTCATAACCTAAAATTGCCCACTAGAGTTGAAAAGGTTCCAGGAAACATGTGAAATACTATGGAGAAATGGAAATAGAGGAAGAGGGGAAAAAAACCCCTACAACAAAACACAACCCAGAGATGTTTTAATCAGCATAGCAAAACTCATATGCAAAATTTGTGTTGCAACAAACCACAGACAAGCATTTGTGATAAGTAAAACAGAGCAATATTAAATTAAATCAAAGCCTTTCCTTGTACTATTGACCACATGTACTTTTACCACACATTAAAGTACAAATCACAATAGGTCTTCATTATCAACTCAAATAAATTTGATTATTGGTTTCTATATTTGGCAATTTCATTTTATTTTTGAGTAAAGAAATCCACATCCATAATGGGCTATACTTTCTCAGGGAACACTGCCCAGAATTCAAAGTGAAATAATGCAGATACTGAATATGTTAAAAATGTCTTGTGCACTTTAGATAACTTCAGAATATTGGGGCACTAAGCCCTAATGCAGCAGTAAGGACACATAATTAACCAATGCATTTCATAACTAAAATTTACCATATTCACTATAAACTTTCCTGCAAGTCTGCTTATTTTAGTCAGTAGTCATAGAATAAAAAGCTAGTGAAAACAGGAAAGCACACCACATTAAGGCTCTAAGTTAGCCTGGAGAGAGCCTGTAAGTCTATGGAAAAACAGGATTTTAGTGGGGTTTGTTGTTGTTCTGGTTTGTTTGGAACTTTTTGTTTCCACTTTATTAAAAACAAACTAAATAAAAATACTAACATTCTAAACCAAAAAAAAAATCCAGTAAACATCCTATGGTCTCTATTACTTTCCAGAACAATAATGTATGTGACAGAAATATGCCACAAGGGAGGTAGAAACTGATCACATTATTTTGCTTATTTAATCGCAGTAAAAAACCCTAAAGGTTTCCAACAAGCCTAGCTTCCTTTCCCACAGAAGATGACCATATGATTCAGTTTCAACGAACCTAGGAAGCAACTTTTATTCTTCTCAATTTTTAAAGAATATACCGTAGTTCTCCTCCCTATCATTAAAAAAACCTACACATATTAAAAAAAAAATCATTCAGTCAGCGTTTTCTCAGAAAAACATTTCATTAGAAGAATCTCAAATTGCTCTACTTAATATCTCCTCACAGGTTTTCCAGAACACGCTAAATAAAAAGCTTTCTCGAATTCAGAGAAAATAATTCCATGACATGGAATCATGACATGTAGTGTGGTAAAAACAGGCGGTCAGACAAGTCACCTGGGCTATCTACAACTAACCCATGGATAATATTGATTCTGACCATCTCATCCGCTCACCTCTCCAAGTTTTCAATCCCCGCTTTACCATCAGCTCTGGCACTTGCCTGGTGCTTAAGTAAGCATTAAACCAGCAAAAAGGCCCCCAACTCAATGCAGCAAAAAAACCCAAACACGTCAACCCCCCAGTGAACCAAATAAAAAATCCATGCGTAAGTCTCTAACAGCTCTCAGGCTGCAGTTGTACAGCAACCTAAGCCAAACTAACTTCTGGCTGGCATAGCCTCTTACCTCCCTCCAGCTGCATGTTCCTACTCTTTCCCTTGTGCCAGCTTCAACATTCATCCAAACCTGTGCAAAACCATTCCAGCGAGCTGAATCAGCAGGCTCCCATCCACTGAAGAGAGCTAAAAAAATATCCCACTGCTTGGCCAATGCACCAGAACAGGCTGGTGCAGGTTCTAGCAAGCACAAGGTCTCCAAGAGAGGCCTCAGCAGCCACCCAGTAGATCAGCCTAGGCTGCCACCAAGCCACAACTTCACTCACCAGCAGGTTGGACAAGCAGCAGAGCTGATACACAAGAGAGAGCAGAAGTGCACATCCACAACGGAGATCACACCTCTAGAGCAGCAGCAAGCTGTTAGATTAGCTTAGCTGGCTTTATTCTACAACATGAGGCATACTACAACTGTGACTAGCTTCAAGGGAAAATACTACTTCTTCGTTCCAGAGCCTCCTGTGCTCTGGTTGTCCAATAAAACAGTGCTAATTACATGCCTGAGTGTTTAGTAAGTCAGAAGCGTTTGTGAACTTTCACCTTTCGAGTACCACTTTGCATATGTGCCTTGCACGTGCAGGACAAAGATGACCAATGCATTTTCATGTATAAGCTGAACATACCAGAAATTTTAAGTTGCTTGCATTCACAATTAGTTTAATAGACTGAACTGCTTAAATTGGCCGTCTGCTAAGGTGCAACTACATTGCTTAAACCCTGTAAAAAATATCTAGCAGGCTTATTTAACACCTATTTATATTACCATCCTGGCAGTGTAACCGCACATTACATGCAAAAAAACCCCACTTATTTTCAATAGGTTTGTAAATAAAAGTATGTAAATAAAGGCCAAGTAAAGGAAGAACAGCAAACTCATCCACCTTGGATGATATTCTTCACGGATGCCTTGAGAATACTCTGCTAGGAGTCCTTGTGCTGTTTTCCCAGTGTGTAGTCTTGCAAACAGATGGAAAGAAGGCGAGACAACTAAAGCAGAATGCTATTCATTCACACATACTTTACACTAGTAAAGTAAACATAAAGTGCCGGCCCATTTCCAAGGGTGGTTGTCAGGACAAAACACTAATAAAAACTGAAAAAGGAATACGAGTCTTTTATTACTGGTTATTGCATTGTGCCAAAGACAAACTCTGGGAACAAGCTTTGTTCCACAAGAAGGTGGCAAAGGTTATATACATATATAAACTGTAGAACCAACTCTGTGTTTTCTGCTAATAAAAACCTCCGAAAGAAACACCTTTAGAAAACAGGTACCATAACCAGCAGCACGAACTATAGTGGAAACCATACAGGAACCAACACTGGGTTTTTTTGCACTCTACCCCAGACAAGGTGAAACCCTGCACACATTCCAAACCACAGTGGTTTCAATAAGGCCCTGCTAATCCTCCACCTGCCCAGATAGGCAGTGACATAACTTGGGTCACTGGAAGCCACGGCACCTGCCTGTTCCAAGTTTTCCGCTGTGATCCCTCAAGTTGCTGTGTTTTTGTCATCTACAAAGGGACACTCAATTTCTTGTTGCTGAAATGGATGCAAAACCACCCAAATTGTAGAAGATGCTATATTGCCACAGTTGAATCCTAATTATTAAAAATTGGAATATTTGGAATTCAATTTTAATTATGCAGTGTGGCTGAGACTTTACCTTGAAACAGACTTTAGGAAAATTATTCATTCTGGAGGGAAGTTTACACTGACAGAAAAATAAATGCTGTGTTCTCACCTCAGTGACTACAATAAAGTGACATGTGTGTTGCCCCTCAATCAACAATAAAGTCTGAATTAAATACTTTCAATTGCTGCCAGGATCCACTGCAGTTCACTATTTCAAATAAAAGCTTGCTGCGACCTCCAGGTCTCTCTATAAATACATATCAATCTGCTCACTCCCAAGCTCCATGCCTTCTTGTATGCACCAATTCCTGCCTTCTGTCTGCCAGGGCCTGCTGTCCATACCTACATAAAAATGGCTACATGTAAACAGCGTTGATATCTAGAGCTTCCTCCACCTTGGTACTTTGAAGAAAAATCGGCATTTAATTTCCTGATAGGGCAGCCTATGCAACTGGACGTGTCTGTGGTGGCCAGCACATGCCCAGGTTAGCATCAGCGTGGCGAGACACTGAACAGGTTGCCCATGGAAGCTGTAGATGCCCCATCCCTGCACCTGCTTAAGGAGGTGCTCAAGGCCAGGTTGGATGGTGCTCGGAGCAACCTGGTCTAGTTTGAAGGTGTCCCTACCCATGGCAGGGAGGTTGGGACTAGATCATCTTCAAGGCCCCCTTCCAACTCAAACCACCCTATGACTCTATGATCAGCTCGGAGCAGGAGCGGGAGCAGCTCTGGGGCTGCGCCTGGGGAGGACGGCCCGCGGGCACACGCCTGGGCTCGGATGCACCTGAGCTGAACGGAGCTGCCCTCGGGCGAGGCCACCGGGGCCGGCACACCTCGGGGCGGCAGCGCCAACGCCGCCCAGCCCCCGACAGGAATCCAGACCCGGGGAGCGGGCCAGGGCCGGCCCAAAGCAAGCGACGCCACGGCCCGCCGCGCCCCAGCCCCTCACCTGCCGCCGAGCTCAGCGCGACCCTCCGGTGCCTCCTGCCGAGCTCCCGCAGCTCCTCCTCGTCCTCCTCCAGCCTCCAGGCTTCGGCCATCGGCGGCGGAGGGGCGGCCGGCAGCATTTAGGAAGCGGGGGCTGCCATGACCGATGCCCTCTCCTCGGCGCGACCGCCCGGCCCCCGGGCCCGCCCCGCACCTGCGCCCTCTCAGCCGCGCTGCTCCCGGACACCGCTCCGCGCCTCTGCCGGCCGGGCGAGCGGGGCGAGGCGGGAGCAGAGGCGGCCTTTCCTGCCCATCCGCGGCTCTCCGGCGTCAGCAGGAAACCCGGCGGCCGCCTGGCACCGCCACAAAAGGGGGCGGAGGAGGCGGTGGCGGGGGGAGGTACCTGGCGGCCGCCGCCGGGCAGCAGCTCTGCGACCGCGGGCACCTCGTGGGGACGGGCCGGGACGGCCACTGCCGGCACCGAGCGGGGCGGGGTGAGCCCGGGCGGCCTCCTGCTAAGGGGAAGAAGGGGCTTGCGGCGAGCGGGTGCGAGGTCTGCCTCGCCTCACGACGAGGTCGAGGAGGTGCCAAGATGATGGCGCCAGGCTCTTTATGGTGGTGCCCAGCGACAGGACGAGGAGCAATGGCCATAAACTAAAACACTAGAAGTTCCACCTCAACGTGAGGAATAACTTCATTATGTTGAAGGTGGCAGGGCACTGGAACAGGTTGCCCAGAGTGGTCGTGCAGTCTCACTCTCTGGAGACATAAACCCACCTGGATGCGTTCCTGTGTCACCTGCTGTAGGTGACCCTGCTTTGGCAGGGGGTTGTACTCTATGACCTCCAGAGATCCCTTCCAACCCTAACAATTTTGTGGTTCTGTGAGGTGAGAAGGGCAGTTCCTGCGGGCGGCCGGCAAGCCGGGAGCCCCGGGAGCAGCGGGGATTGCGGGCGCGGCAGTGCTGCCCCGGTACCGGCCGAGGGCTGGGGGCAGGCGGGAGTCCGACGGACAGCGGCTGTGGCTCCCCGCCAGCAGGATGTGTGTCTTGGCCTGAGATTCTTGACGGTGGTTTGAACTACTTAAGGAGAGGTCATCTTAGGACCTACTTGAAACCAGTGAGGTACACACTTAGAGCGCCGAAGTGATATGAAAAACAGGGCCACATTTTAAGTCAGACACTTGTGTAGTTTTAGCTCTCATTTCTTTTTTTTTCTCCCGGGCCTCAGTTGCTTGTATGTAAAATGGAAATTATATTGCTTCTTCATGTGGTAATTGTAAAACCAAATCATAAATGTTTTCACATGTTACTCCACTTTAGGTACTACTAAAAAACTTGAAGTTAAATTCATCTTCAGAGCAAGTGAACGAGGGACAGTAAATCAATAAATTATGTGACCACAAATTAGAGCAGGAAGATACAACAAAACAGTGAGTAATCCTCATGTTGAGCAGTATCTGTGCTGACACACTAAGCACCATCTATGCTACACTGTGAAAAAAGCAGATCATACAGGTTAAAAAGAAATATGTCACCACAAAACTGAAAAAATATTTCATAATGTGTGAATACAAATGATTATCTGTGCATTTCTTAGTGATTCAGTTCTTGACTTTACCATCATTGTTCCTTAACAGAGGCTTTTTTTCACTGGAGCTCTTAGTGTTCAAGTGGTATAATAGTTACACTTTGAAGGACATAAGGCTTTATGCTACAAAAGGATGTAAGGCCAGGCATAAAACTGGATGTACAGCTGGACTGTATAACAGACAAATCAAGCCTTCTACTATGTGTTTTCAAAAGCCTCATGCTCCTCTGCATGGATAGATTGCATGGTAGTCCAAGGAACTCGCCTTACAAATTTCAGTGCAGGATCAGCATGCCTTGTACATGATCTAGAGGGGATACAAAGTTCTTCAGTGGAGCACTGCTGTCACAGGTATGGTATATGGCTGTGCCACAAAGCCTCACCTGCATCAAAAACAACAGAAAACTAAGTTCCAATGCAGAAAGTATGAGGAAGAACAGCAAAAGGGAGGGAAGTTGCTTGTACGTGCATGTGTGAGAGATAAGAGACTCTCCCATGTAAAACAAACAGTATGTGTTGTTTGTATGCTAGTTCTCCACTGTAAAGCCAAAATGCAGCACCTGTATTCAGCTCCTAACCTCCATTAACCACAAAGAATGACAAGGACCATCCATTTTCCACTTCCTGAATATCTCCTTTTTATACTATGTTTCACTAATGTTGGGGGGGGGAAGCTTGGTATCATGTAAAATTACCAAGGAAAGGAAAGTCAGAAATATACCATAGAACATAGCACAAATTCAGAGAGCCTGAAAATTGGATTAAACCTTCTTTTGTTGCTGTTGATGAAATTAACACAGAGGCTCCTAAGCATATAAAACTGAAAAATACATTTGGACAGCTCTTAGGCCTAAGAAAACCATGCTGAATTGAGTAGTTCCAGCTATGACTAAGAAAACATTCCCCAAAATATCAAATAATACAGTATAGAAGGATCATGAGTATTTAATGCTGATCAAATCATCAAGAGTTCCTTAGCATTCACAGGGAAAGTCCAACTTAAAAATGAAAGTGTAATAACTAAATTATATAGGAAGGGGTGAAGTCCCTGAAGCAACCATTTTGCCATATATTGAGCTCTGCCAGCAGGAAATGCACTTGGGACAGTGACTGAGTTTTAGGCCTAGAGGAGCCATTCGAGAAATGCCTGTAACTGTTTGAAGATGGATTCCCATCTTGAAAGGAAGAAATCAAATGAAGATATAATTCATATGTGGATACAAATTTCAGGTAGCAATATCCAATATATTACAGTAAAGAGTACTGGAAACAAATTCCAAACAGTACTACCTGAAACAAAAAAATGTCACAACATTCAATAAAATACTTGAATCATAGTTCTGAAATTTTTATTGCAAAAAAGAAAAAGAATAATGCTCAATCCCTCCAAAAGGAGGTTACTTACCGGTAGATAGAATTCTTCAAGGTCTGTTATGTGTAGGTATGCTCACACTGCCAGTGTACCAGTCGTAGAACCATAATGCGGTTTGTGTTGGAATGGACCTTAGAAATCATCCAGTAATAACCCGTCTGCCGTGGGCAGGGACACCTTCCCCCAGACTAAGCTCCATCCAGGCTCCATCCTCGCCTTTAATGCTTCCAGAGATGGGGCAATCACAGCCTCTCTGGACAACCTGTTTCAGTGTCTCACCACTCTCACATTAAAGAATTTCCTCCTAATATCTCTCTTTCAGCCTAAAGCCGTTCCTCCTCGTCCTGTCACTATCTGCCCATATAAAACGTCCCTCTCCTTCCTTTTTGTAAGCCTCCATAAAGTACTAGAAGTCTGTAGTGAGGTCTCCCCAGAGCCTTCTCTTCATCATGGTGAACAACCCCAACTCTCTCCACCTGTCTTCATAGGAGAGGTGTTTCAGCCTTTGGGTCATCTTTGTGGCTCTGCTCTGGACCTGCTCTAACAGGTCTGCATCTTTCTCTGGTGCTGAGGACCCCAGAGCTGGATGCAGTACTCCAGGTGGGATCTCACTAAAGCAGAGTAGAGAGGGAGAAGCACCTCCCTTGACCTGCTGGCCACACTGGTTTTGGTGCAGCCAGGATAGAGTTGGCTTTCTGGGCTGCAAGTACACGCTGATGAGACATGTCAAATTTCTCATCCACCAACACCCTGAAGTCCTTCTCCCAAAGGGTAGTCTTGATCCATTCTCTGTCCATCCCGTACTTTTGCTTGGGATTGCAAGATCTTGCTCTTGGCCTTGTTGAACTTCATGAGGTTTGCACAGGCCCATGTCTCAAGCCTGTCCGGGTCCCTTTGGATGGCATCCCTTCCCTCCAGCCTGTTGACTGCAGCACACAGCCTAGTTTCATCAGCAAACTGCTCAGGGTGCACTCAGTGCCACTGTCCATCTTGTCAATGTTAAATAGCACCAGTCCCAATATAGACCCCTGAGGAACACCACGAGTATTCAAGCTTAGAGGTGTTTTTTAGATTTTAAATGCTTCCATTTCTTTCAAGTAATCCTTTCCTAGTGAGTGTTTGCCAGATGCATTCATCCGTGCTCTGTCTGTGAGCTTCTAGTTTATGTTGGTATTCTCAAGTGATAAACAGCTTTAGGGGTTTTTGCCAAATGCAACAACACATCACTGGGTTGATACCTGATAAAGGTGTGTAAATAATGGAGGTACCTAGGAAGGAGGGAGGCTTTAACAATTCTGTGGGAGATAGATGGGGCTCTGACAGAGTGCTCCTGAGCAGCAATGGCAGATCTACCTTTGCAGTCTTGGAACAGATCCTGACACAGCCCCTTATCTGGGTAAGCAGTTTCTAGGGGGAGGAGAGAGCTGTGCTTTAGTAAAGCAACAAAACCAGCTGTTGAAATAATCAAAAGAGCTACAGTTGCTGGCTAGTCTAATAATAGCCTAGGCCAGACAGAGTAATTCACAATAATTTGGCTCAGATCAGAACACACAAACACACACATACATACAAAAAGACTTCTGCTGCTGGGTTGCTGGGCCCAGGGGAAGAAGGAAACAAAGAAGAGGGGAGGATGAATTGGACCAAATAATTTGAAGTGCAGAAGAAATTAAAGCCATGTGGGAAAATCTCTCCAGCAAGTCAAGGTCCCAAGATCCTCTTCTACTTTTCAGCAAATAAACAGGTGGAAATTATCAAAAAGAAATAAAAGGGGGAAAAAAGTACATATAGATGCAAGTTGCAAAAGTTTTATTTAAAAAAGAATGACCAAAAAAAGAAGGAAAGCACTTGCTGCAGTCTCAGGTAGTTGATGGGAAACATCAGCATGAAGCATTTGTTGCTCTAAAGCACTTCATGAACTACACCAAATTTGTGTCTTACAAGCAGGGTGAAGAAAAAAGAATTGCATTCTTGTACTTCACTGAGAATTTCCACTTCGTACATGTGCGTAGGAATAAAAGGCTTTTGTATATTTTCATAGCTACCATTCTCCAAGAAAACAAACTTCATTTTCTCAAAAAGTCTGTAATTTAGTTATCAAAATCTGGAAATTTCTCACTGAAATTCTACTTAATCGTATGCATCTTTGCCGTAGTGTAGATAGTTGTAATTTCATGATAGTAGAGTAAAAGAAGGAAACAAGTGAGTAAATGGGTCTTTGTACTCTCTGCTCAATGCTTACAATTAGTTGCCTTGGCAGTTATTATTTTATAAGTATTTTGTTCTGATTTGCATCCTTGGAATTGCCACTTTGTTTGGCCTTGCAAAAAGACACTGTTTTTCAACAAAAAATATCAGCTCTGTAGAAGTGTTTAATTGAAGTCCCCCAAGTAGCCTCAAATGTCTATTCAGGTTCTGCAAAGCAGCTGAAGCCTGCAATGAATGTATCAGTGTTTGGCTGAGATACAGGAGCCTCAGACCACAAAAGAATAGAGACAAAAGATTTTGTTTAAACGCAAAGGACGAAAAAGAGTATTTTCAAAGGGGAAAATGTAGCCTTTGGACGTGACAACATTATTTTTGTTCTGAATAAAAATAACAAGAGTCTTGTTCAATAGACAAATGACGTTAACGATATAGCCAGTATAGGAAGCTGACTTTGGTGAGGACCAAGATCTGATAATTTGATCTCCATTTGTGTTCAGCTGTTCCAATGGGTTTTAGGGTAGCTGGAGAATGACATATCAGGAGCCTGCAGGTTTCCTGAAATGTCTCCAGCTAAGTGTGGGTTCTCCTTGCATTGTTACAACTACTTGTGGCTTCCAGCATATGAGCATGATGGCAGTCTAAAGGTAGGTGGTTTTGTGATGAACGAAGATAATTGAAATAGAAGACTATTGGTTTCCTTGAATAGGGACTTTTCTTATGGAAACATTGTAAAATCACCTTTCCGCAAATCTGGGGATTTTGGGACTGCTCTCAAAAAATGAGAAGGATCTCTGCATGAAAGTAGCAAATCCAATAATTTCAAAAGACTGAAAATTGGCAGCCACAGGGGGAAAACCTATTCAGAGTGAGATTCTTATAGTTTTTAAAATTATTTTTACAAATAATTTCAGTTACTTTTGCTGTTTTACAACTTCTGTGGACTAAAAGCAATCTTTCCTGTCCTCTTAACAAACATCTTCTTACAGTATTATTCTCCTTTTTAGCCTTATCATTTGTAAGGTAATAAATATATTTGTTTCTGGTGCCTTCATGATGAGAGACAATAAGAAAGTAGAAGAAAGTGAGAAAATACGGAAGGAAAAAGAGCTGGTTCAGAGGAAAACACTTCTTAGAATGAGAGGCTGTCAAAGCCAAATTGATTCATAGTTTAAGTCCTGAAGTTCATGTTTGCTCTATAACCACGGAGTTATCAGTGGATAGTGTCGATGTTATGCTAACGTGAGCTGGCAATGGCATGATGTAAGAAGTATTATCACACTGGACACATGTGACACCTAAGAATATACAATGCTAACCCCAGGAGGAGAGTCCAGCTTTTCTGCTGCAGTTTGCACT